AGCTAAAAATGAAAGGATTGGTTAATAAACACATTATTTATGCTTTCCGTTATTGAGGATGTTATTGATAAAGTTAAGAGGGAATGTGTATATGTTCCAAGTGGCAGTATATGCCATTATCATTTAATGGGGTCATTACGGATTTAATAACAAAATAATTAAGGAAGGGGAACATTATCTAACATTGTATTTTCTACAGTATTTGCTTCCATATCAGGTACTCTCAGCTAGTATAGGTAATTTTGATTCTTGTAATGTTCTTTGAAATTCAACCTGTTTTATTGCGTGTACCTCATTATAACCTGATACTATGGGTCAAAACACTGTAATAATTAAACTCAGATTTCCCTTCTATAAAAGTTATTGTGATTGTATTTTTAAATAGAAAGTTAATTTTTACAGTCTTAAGGCATATTTGCCTCATCATGATGTCAACGAATGAGCAGTAACTGTGTTAGTATTTTAGCTTTGTTTTTGTTTGAATACAATATACGAATGTACAAGTTACTGATCAGTTTATCAAAATTGGACCAACATTGATAACTAAAATTAAGATACAGTGTAAAATGTAACCTTTATTTGTAAGACAAGTTAGACTGGTCACAGACTATGAGAAAAACAATTGCTCATAGAGTGTTTGTTTTAATGTACATGTATAACCTCAGCATCTGTTGCTGACCCCAAATTAAGTTTTTCATATTGTATGCAATTTTGGTATATATTTTTGTGTGTAAAGTTCTAATTTCTGAAAGCTTCAATCAGACAATTTAAAATTATACATTGCTAATTTCTTTCTCTCTCTTCATTTTTCCTTAAAAAAATAAAGCAATGAGTACTTGCCAAGTTTGTGGTAGCAGGGAATATTAGAAAATATATAGATTGCACTTATGTATTCAGCATTTGGATAGAGTATATTTTGCTAATTATAGTGGTAATTTTATTATGGATATTATCTTTGCCAGATTAAGGTAAAATTAAAAGAAAAATGTTCAGTCAGTTTTAGGTTAAGATGTATCTAAGTAATCAACAAGAAAAAAAAACAATCTCACAGAATTACAAAGAAAAATATGGGAAAGCAGCTGAAAAAGGTTTAAAGAAATGTATATTTAATTTGTGAATACTAAAACTGTGTCTGTGGTGGTTTAATTTGTGGGGTTTTATACTTATAGTATATATAGATATATATATATATAATATTTTGTTCATTTTAGCAGCTGGGACTCTCTAAACTTGTTTAGTTCAGCCACAAATAGCAATACGTCCAAGGTGAAAAGGAGTGCACACAGCTCTAATCTTCATTTACAGACCTATAAAGAGTACAAGGAAAAACTTAGGTTGCAGAGGGCACAAAATAACATTGGTGTTTATAGAAGTCCCTTTGTTTGCAAGTAAGAAAAATGTGTAAAACCTACAACTCATATGAAGATTTTCATCTACTAATTTATTTATTTTTAAGTTTAGAAATATTTAATTAATTAACAAATGTATTATTATTATTATAATAAGCTAGGAGGATTTCAATGTATAGAAGTTTATATATATTGTTAGTGAAGCATTTGCAAGTTGTAAAAATTCATCAGTAAAATCTTAGACTATGTTATCATGTTTCAAGATTTGTTTTAGGTCTTAATAAGATAAATTTATTTTTTGTAGATGGAATTGTTTCTTATTTTAAAAATGTTATTTTTTGTAAGTAGTATAAATATTAACTGTTGAAAACTAAGTATTTATGTAAAAGTTTTAAAAGATGCATATTTGTCTACCAGTAATAGTATATACTGATTGAAATGTTGTATTTCTGTATTTATAACTCTTTTGCAAAACTGTTTATTTCAAACCAGTAATACAAGAAATTGTGACCCACCAAATGAGGAAATACTCAGTGTAGTATCCAGCATGTCATCTTCTCAGACACCAGTATGTTTGTATTACCAAAAAATCAAAGTACTTTAGACTTTTATTTGTTAAGTGTAAGAACATTTGAACCCACTAGATATAAATAGTAAAACAACCATGAAATGTTACTATTAATAATTAAACTCTTGATTCAGGTTGTTTTCTCAAGTTTTACTTGTATCAAATTTCCCTCAGAGTATGAAACAACTAAAGCTAGATATTATTTTCATTTTAGAGTTTTTATCTTACTAGTAACGAACCTTTATAGCAGATTTGGAATTTTGTTTATTATATTTCATAGTTCAAAGAGATATTTTGTTTTACCAAAACACATGCATATTTCCCTCTATATGTTAGCATAAGCTGTAAGTCCAGTATAATTTTTCATTGTATTTTGCAAATAAATTCACTGTTACTTATGATTTTCATCTTGTTAGAATACAAAAAGGATAAAGAATGTTATTTTATGGTATACTAGTAGATTCTTTTCATAAACTGTATACATTTAAAATATAAGTTTTAGCAGCTTTTTTTAAATAAACAGTTTTTAAGTAAAAAAACTGTGTATTACTTGCAAATGTTTTTCTTTCTTTCCATCAGGAAGAAAATACTACAACATCAAACCATGTAAGATGTGAAGCTAGTGACAGTGGTAATGTTTTACAAGAAAGTGTAGTGAAAGTAGACTTATCTGAGCTAGCAAGTCATATAAATCTTGAGGACCATTTAGAAAACATTCCTGGTAAACTGGAAACTCGTTCACAGAAGTGCTGTGGCAAAATAGAAAAAACTTCTGAGAACAAGATAAATCAAATAGAGACAACTGTAAAAGAAAATTCTACCAAAGTTGAAAACAGTTTGGAAAGTGACTCTGTTAAAACAGTTAACTTTTTACCAAAAGATTCTGTTAAAGTATTACATATGTCAGTTGTTGGCTCTGAAGAACATGAAGAAGAGGTAAATGAATCAGGTACATGGAGAGAAAAAGACTGTGATTATGAAGCACTGGAAAATGATGTCCACTCCAACCACATGGTAAGCTTAATATTTCAATATAATCTATTATTGAAATTTTGTAAATGATTTATGAACTGTAAAGTGATAACATTTTTAAACTTATTATAGACACTAAGTTATAAAGCAATGCTCCAGATAAGAGCTGTACTGGTGTAATTCCCAACCAAAAATCAGCCATCTATGGCCTCAAAAAAATTGAGAAGTTGTTCTACTGCCATGGAAAAACAAATACGGCTCCTGCTGCTTTAACGGTAGTACAGTATTTAATGGGTGCATTCTTGTAGCTTTCTGCAGTTCAACACAAGATGTGTACAGTTTACACAGTAGAGCTGCAAAAATAAGCACTCTCTAATTGCCAAAAGTTTCTATTGGTGCACTAATGAATAATCCACTTTTGTGTAAAAAATTAAAGAACAAGTTGTAATGTTATTATTTGTGTTTATGATGACTACATCTGGTGATTTAATTTGCTAAATTAACCCTGTGCCAAATTTTACCTTTTGAAATAATAAAATAATTCATAATTAGTTAACTTACTTTTTATCATAAAATGTTACTGCTGTACTGTGTAAAAACTTTAAAATTACTCCCATTGACAGAATTCTGGGAGTGATTACTCCTTACAGAAAAAATTACCTGGAGCACTGATAAAGTGCACTGAAGTTATCTGCTCACTTAAATAAATAAATAACTATATATATATGTGTATACTTTTTCACTCTAGAATTCTTTTACAACAAACCAGAATAGAAGTAATGACTGCAATACACAAGCAAGATACAAGAAGATATTTATAAACCAACATTTTGAATTCACAATGAATGGACAAAAGAGATCCTCTGGTAAGTTGTTAAATCTGTATAAAAAGTGTATAGAAAGTGTTGTTAGGTTGTTGCTGTTCATGATCTAAATGAAACCATTTGTTAAAGGAAGTCATGTTTATAATTTGATATGAGTATTGTAGTTATAGGGCAAAGAGCCTAGTAAAGATTATCTATGATAATTTTGATGTAACCTAGAAACAATTTATATATTGATTTTCTAATATTTGAAAGTGAAACAACAATTGGCTAAGTAATATTTGGAGAAAAAGTAATGAATAAGGCAGTAGTCAGATCTGGCTCTTAAGCAGGAATACAAAAGTACCTACATATTAGTTTCAATATTTATTTTGAAATATTTTCGTAATAATATGCACAACTTTTTTAATCATGTTTTTATTTTCTCTGATAATTGTTTTTTTTAAGTACCATAGTTGCAAAGGTTATTTTTTGAATTGCACACAAAGCTATTTCCCATCTTCTTTCTGCCTTCTAAGCATTGCTAAAAAATTTTCATGCTTAGTGCACCAATCTATATACCTCACCAATTTCTCACCACTGTTGAACATGTACATATTGTGTGACTACTCTCCACCAATAGTATTGTGCCACATATATTGGTGCAGCTATTCCTGCTCAATTTCTCAATTTCCACAGCTTCGTCTAGACATGTGTTGTTTGGCATGTGGCTATCATTTATGGTTGTGCTTATTTGCCATTTACATTTTTTTTCAACAGTTTTCTTTGCTGTGTTTGCATTCAATTGTTTCAACAATATATATATATATATATAGTTTTTGCATTTGTTTCTTGTTACTGAATTATATGAGAACAGTCGACAATGCTACTGGTACAAGTTCCCAGGAATCTGGTTGGACTTTAGCTGCAGAGGAGGTACAAGCCTTAATTCACAGGGAGCTAGATTCATATGTTTGGCCAGTGATTTCTTCTCGTTTTCAACCTGACAATGTTGTTGAGGGAGAATACGTTCAAGGAGAAGACAATTTGGACTTTTACTGGCATCTTCTTATTTTGGTCATATTCTACACCTTCCATTTCTACACCCTTTTTTACAGCTGGTTACTCAGATTGACAGTCAATGCATATTCAGTTTTTTCTGTATGTTCGAGATAAGGGTGATTTTGCTAGCTTTCTTTTTCCTGCTCCTGTTGCTATGCCTCCATGTCATTTACTTTGGTGGAGGTTTGTTCTTTTTCTCATTTCTTATCGCTTCCAGATCAGTGGATCAGTGGTAAGTTTTTTTGATATGTACACTTTGCACCTGGTTGCTATACCCATGGTGGGTTTGACTCAGATGCCCTTTGTGTGGCTTTGTACTTCTTTACACATGGGAGAATTAAGTATTCATGTCATCAGTGCTCAGACTTTGGTAAGTTAGATATTTATGTGTCCTTTGTTGTCTAAGTTAATTTAGATTTATTATAAGTTAGATATTGATTATTACTTTTTTACTAGGTAATTTTAGTTGGTTTACATGTTTATTATTATTATGTACTTGTTGATTAGGTAAATTTTGATGGTTTGTCAGTTGAATATTAATGAGTACGTTGTTAACTAGGTATGTTTAGATAGTTTGTTCTTTACATATCATTCCTCCTAGTAACACCTAATTCATTGTTCTATCTGAATTTTTTTTTCATCATTGTTAAGTACGTACCTTATAATCCTAATTTTGTCAGACTTAATTTTTTTGCATTGTTACATCACTTTTGTTTTTATTGATTTCTTTTCTGTTCATAGGGCTGAGCTTTGCTTTGACTACATTTTCTTTCTTCTTGATACTAGAATCCAATTTTTCGTTTGGACTAAGCTCAGCTCCTTATGTGCTTTGTTGAGTAGTAAGAACTTTTGTCTGACATCTTCACTCGATGGGTCTTTGCAGTCATCATTATATGGATGACTGCCTCCTGCTTGCTTCTTCCTGTTCACAGTCCAGAAACCACACTTGTCTGCTACTACAAGAAGCAGCAAAGGTGGGATTCTTGATGAAGGTGGAGAAGTTCATTCTTACCTCCATTCAATATTTTGTTCATTTGTAGGTTTTCTTCAATTTCAACCTCAGTCAGTCCTAGCCTCCTGCTCTTCATCTTTGGGATATGGAGCAAGCAGTCCACAAAGCCCTCACATCAGATTCTTTCACAGCTCAATAGGTTCTATCTCTTTAGGGGATGTGGGCTTCCTTGGAAACTCTCATTTTCTTGGGTTGAGCTCATATGCATTCTCTTCAGTGGACACTTCTTGATCAATGGAACTTCTAGAATTCCTTGGATCAACCTTTTTATCCTTTCTTCCCCAATCAGGGCTGGCCTGGCTTGGTGGCTAGATAGAAACCAGACCACAGCAGGGGTTCTGCTTCCTCCACCTCATCTGGATTTACGTCTTGGTTCCGTTGGATTCGGCTTAG